TAATTTCCCATAAATTTGAAGAATGAAGTAGACAAAGTGACCTGACGATATTGTGCGCATTTATCAAACTGTGTGTCACGATGGCTATGTTGGGATTCGTATATTTATATTCAAATGTCACTTGGCGTGCTGATTTTTCACTCAATATTAATAATGATAGTAATAATAATAATAATAATAATAGTAATAATAATAATAATAAACAATATATACATGACGGGGACTATCATGGTTGTCCGCAGCTTTCTATCCCTTGTCGCCCTTAGAAGTGCTTCTCCTTTCGCCAAGCCTCATATCCCCCGTACCGCCATTAAATCACAAAAGCTGGTCTTGCTGCCTGCTCTAGTCTCTTTTATTCTCGCTATGCCCTGTGAGTGTCAAGTATTCTAAGCCGTTCTTCCTCATTATGTATCTAAGAAAATAAAACTCTTTCTGAATCCGAGTATAAGTTTTCTTTTTGCTATCATGCGCTATTACATCGAAACATATTGTACACATTTGACTGTGACTCATATGCTTCATATACACGTATCAGGTATCATGGTGTCTATGTTGGGCTTCGTACGCCTGTGTCACTTTGTTGACATGATGCTTTCTCATCTCTATCTATAAAAGGCAGGATGTGTGTGTGTGTGTGTGTGTGTGTGTGTGTGTGTGTGTAACGAATGCACAGCCGCAATTTTCGACGGATTTGCACCAAAATTTACATGCACATGCTCCAAGTTAGCGGAAAGGCCAAGATCGACTTTGCATTCCAACTCCCATCGATAGTGGAAATAATAAATTTTTTCATGCTTCTATGGCAGTTTTCATGTAGTTTGCGGCCATTTTGTACTGGCCAGAGTGAGAGCCAATAGCTGGTTGCCACGAATAGGCAAAAAGATTCTATTGGCCAACGTGAGAGCCAACAGCTGACTGACACGAATGTTAACTAGCATGCTAGCATGCAAAAAAATAAAAATAAAAATAAAAATAAAATCGATAGCTGCATTCGTCACAAGTGGGAAAAATTTAAATCTGCATGGCACTTTACTCCAATTGGCTCATTCGCTTGCTTAAACTCAACGTTGATTCTGATTCCACTGAACTGGGTTGGGTGTGAAAAAGTATTTGTTTCTTTTTTCATTCCGTTTTCCCAGTTACAAGTCCTTTTTTAAAGTTGATCATTTTGTGTTCATTTTGTTTAGTTCTTTTCTCGTAACAGATTTAATGTTTAGTATAGAACTTAGAAAAAATTCTCAGTGTGAGATAGGCAAGAAGTAAGGCATGTAGCAACATCAGCACGGCAAAGGGCACTCCTTTAAAGGCAAGGAAGGGCAAAAATATTTTAAGTCAAGTGATAGCGATTGCTGTATGAGTCGTACGATTTTTGAATCAAGCAAGGGCAACGCCGGGCCATGGTGCTAGTTCAGTAATAATAATAATAATAATAAAACAAAAGCACATGCAATATAACAAATGCAAAAACGATGGTAAGATAAGCCCCTCCAAGGTCAATACTCATGCGCATAAAAACAAGCTGATGTAGACAAACCCCATACCCATCAATGATTACGTAGTGCAGGGTTAAAAACTGAAGCCGAAGGTTTTATTCTTGTAGCACGGACTCAATGCTTGCTAACTGGAAATTACCAAGCATATATACTGTAAAAATGTGTTAAACCGAAATGCAGATTCTGGGATAAATATCCAGAGACAATTGATCAACTTGTATCAGGTTGCAAAGTGTTAGCACCCATTGAATATAAGCCCCGGCGTGATAAAGTGAGCCAATATCTGTACTTGAAAATATGCAAATTTTACGGGAAGGAAACTGCAAGAAACTGGTATGAACATCACCCAGACTCGGTTACAGAGATAAGACCTGTAACAATTTTATGGGACTTTAAAATACACAGACAGATCAACCAAAGCTCATCGCCCAGACATCGTGATCAAAGTCTACAAAAACAGAATGTGCTTTCTTATTGACATGGCAATCTCTGCTGATTGTAATGTATAGTTGAAGATCTTTAAAAAACTATCAAAATACAAGGACCTTGAAGTAGAAATATAAAAACAATGTGGCACATGAAGACATCAATAACTTCAATTGCAGATGGAACTCTCGGATTGAGTGGAAAAGGTTCCGATAGACTCATTGAAAGAATTCCTGGTAGACCATGCTTTAAAGAAATACAAAAAAATAAAGATACTCAAAAGTACAGCTCACACATTACGAAGAGTTTTATTTATGTAAAATGTGTGTGATTTTAGTTCAGTTAGTTTTTTTATTTTATTTTTTTGTTCAAAAATCATAAGTGGAAAATGTCACGAAGCCAGTTATGAAATTTGGTCTATGATTGGTGCCCGAAAGTAAATGTGTATACAACAGAAATCCAAGAAAATAATAATAATAATAATAATAATAATAATAATAATAATAATAATAATAATAATAATAATTTGCAACTTCTTCGGGAAGGAAACTGAAAAAGAAACTGGTATGAACACCATCCAGACCCGGTTACGGAGATAGGACCTGTTACAATTCTATGGGACTACACAATACACACTGACAGAACAATCAAGGCCAACCGCCCAGACATTATTAAAGACTACAAACAAAAAAAGTGCCTCCTTATTGATATGGCAGTCCTTGCAGACTGCAATGTATGTTTGAAGATATTCAAAAAGCTGTCAAAATACAAGTACCTTTAAATCGAAATTTCAAAAATGTGGTACATGGGAACATCAACAATCCACGTTGTAGTTGGAGCCCTAGGATTGGTTGGAAAATATTCCAGTAGACTAATTTAAGGGATTCCTGGAAGTCCATCCCTCAAAGAAATACAAAAAATTGTTCTCACAAGTACGATGGGCTTTATCTATTTGAAATATGTTTTTTTTTTTTTTTTTTTTTTGTCAGTGGTGAAAAGTGTCATGACGCCATTTCTAACCTTAGGTCTCTGGGTGGGACCCGGAAAGAAATGTGCACACGCCAAAAATCAAAGGAAATAAAAACAATAAACTTGTTTGATATACATGCAATCTATTACATTACAGCGGAAACTGCTCATTACAGGAAATTTAAAAATTTTGACTTATATGCAGTTCTTGGGGAAAGGGATAAGTTGTTTATTTTGTGATGAAAACATAAAAGAGAACAAACTATCAGGATGTTACAAAAACTCTTGCTAGATAAATGTCTTGATTTTATTGTAAATTGTCAAAATGATGTCATTTTAAGAAAATAAAACAAAATATTTTCTGATAACTAAACATGTCTTAATGATTTGACATCAAGTCGAGCTATTTATCAGGGAAGGTCAAGAACCTTCGCCCGTAGACGAGGACATTTGCTCTCAAAAGCAAGCTGTTAGTGGCAACTGGTAACCCGAGTTGAAGTCAGCACCATCCTAGATTTTAGATAAATCTGTTTTATTGCCTATAACTAGATTGATTGAGATGTGACTGCGTTGGTCTTATTATTGCTATTGATTATGTCCAATTACAGGCATAATACAATTAATTTCGCTAGCAGGGGAGTCCTCTTGCCTAGAATGATACTACCCGCCAAAGTTATATTGACGCATATTGGCTGCCTCATATTATCCACCACGGCGGAAATTCCTTTAGAATACTTCCACACACAAAATTACATAGGTGCATTTCCTGACAGCGTTCTGTGTTCGTAGAGGCATCAATTTAGCAAGCTGAAGAAGATTCCTCTAGAATGCCTGCCTCTCAAAATTACACGGGCATGTTTATTGACAGAATTCTTAGACGCATTAACTTAGCTGGCGGGAACTCAGGGATACTTCCATTCCCAAGATTACATGGGCCTGTTTCTTTCATTTTCTGCGTTCCTGGGCGCATTAAGTTAGCTAGCTGGATGGAAAGTTTAGTATACTTCCACCCACAAAATTAAATGGCTGTGTTTCTTGACAGCGTTGTTCGACACATTAATTTACCTTGCTGAAGGCATCCTCTAAAATACATCCACCCACAAAAGTACAATGGCGCGTTTCGTTAAAGCTTGCGGGCATTAATTTAGCTAGCAGGATGTTTCTTTAGAATATTTCTCCTCTCGAAATAACATAAGTTCTTTACTTGTCAGTTTCTATATTCTTGGGGACATTAATTTAGTTAGCTTTCTAGCTAGCTAAATTAGCAATCATAAGACCAACAGAGTATAACAAAATTTGCATTATGACAGTCCTAGTTAATCTAGTTATAGAAAATACAATAGATTTATCTAAAATCTAGGATGGTGTTAACTTCAACTTAGGTACCCTGTTACCACTAACAGCTTGCTTTTGAGAGCAAATGCCCTTGTTTACGGACGATAAATAAATAAATAAATTGTGCAGAGCTTTGCTTGCTGTCACATTTTTAAGATATGTTTAGTCATCAGGAAATCATCTAGAATACTTTCACACCCAAAATGACATGGGCGTGTTTCTTATCAGCCTTCTGCATTAGACGCATTAATTTATTTAGGTGGGGGATTCTCTTGAATGCTTCCACCCCCAAAATTATATAGGCACTTTCCTTTTCAGTTTCTGCTTTCTTGGACGCATTAATTTAGTTAGGTGGAGGGGGATTCTCCAGAATGCTTCTAAGCCTCAAATGACATGGGCGCATTTTTTTTATTGATTATTTTTATTCATTGATTTAGCTGGCTCTGTGAGACCCACTAGAATACCTCTATAAAAATGACTTGAGAGCGGTTTTTGATAGCTTTCCTGTTTGATTTTCTCAGATAGAAAATTATTAAAGCACACTTGATTTATTTGAGCATTTTGTCCTCATTCTGGGTAAGCACAATATTTTGTCCGTTTTATCCTCCGTTTTTTTTCTTCTTCTGATACCTGACATTTTAAGTAAATTTCTCGAAATTGTGGACTGAAGAATTTATTCAGTCCGAGTAGAGTGTTCTTTTTCCTCTCTTTATGCTAGGGCAAATAAATCTTACTAGTTAATACTTCTATTATATTGTCTATTTGTTAGTTCATGGCTTACGGCCATATCGCGTTGAAACATTGGTCCTCTACGATCACCGAAGTTAAGCAACGTCAAGCCTAGTTAGTACGATGATGGGTGACTGTTTGGGAATACCAGGTGCTGTAAGCTTGAATGCACGGCTGGTGTAATGGATAATGGCTCGGAATTGCTAATCGTGTTCCAATTCCCGTTGGGTTCTTTATAATAATTTACGTGCAAATACTATTTTGGGAAAAGTATGAATCTAACTCTTCTCTCTCCAGCTATGGGTTAATTAGTAAGACTTTTATCAATAGACCATTATTATCTAAAAAAGAAATTATCACAATCTAAAAACATTTTCTAGCTTTAAATAACCTACAAAGGGTTGATACCCTGTAAAAAATAATTAATCAATTGTTAGTTCTTGTGATGCGATTTCGGCACTTTTCACTGGATTCAATGCCCCAGTGATTGGACCTTTCGGCACTTAATGCTTTTACTTAGCTAGGAATTACAGCACGTGAAAAGGTGTGAATATAACAACCAAGATGATTAAACCAGTGTATAACGATACACAAGTTTAACTTAACAGGTGTTTATACATTCTAGGTCAATAAATACACATCTGTCTACAAGGGTCGTTCAAAAAGTTCTCAGCCTCACCCAGAGGGAGTAGGAGAAACAAGACAATTTTTCACTATTTTTCAATATAGTCCCCCTTGACATCACTGCACTTGGTCCAACGATTCTTAAAAATTGTAATCCGATAACGGTGTAGAGTGGCGTCCTGCTCCTCTAAAAACTCTTCCACAGCACATATGATATCATCATTATTTCCAAAATAGCAGCCACACACGTGGGATTTGAGTTTAGGAAACATGATGAGGTGAGATGAAGCTAAGTCTGGAGAATAAGTGGAATGGAGTAGCAAGTTAAAGCGTCAAACTGGGCAGAGTGAACGGGCGCGTTACCCTGGAGCAAGAGCACACCTACTCTCAGCTTCCCTCTTTTTCGACTTGATTGCTTCATTAATTCTGAGGCATAGTACTTTTCATTAAGAGTTTTCCCTTTTTCCAGAGATTTTATCATGATTACACCATCAGAATCTCAAAAACCGGAAGCCATCACCTTGCCAACAGACGCTGTCTTCTTGAACTTCTTCGGGAGTGGAAAATCAGTATTTCCGCTCTTTGCGTTGAATCTTTGATTTAGATTCTAAGTGGTGAAAGCAGGTTTCATCTCGATTTAGTAATCTGCCGTGGAAATTCTCAAGATCAGCCTGGAAGTAAATCAGAAGTGTCCTGGAAATATCAAACATTTTTTAGCTTCTACTCTGGTTTTAGCATTCTTAGGACCCATCTTGAAGACGGGTTGCTCATCTTTAAGATCTCAGTTAAAACAATATGAACCAGAACTAATACCTATGGACTTAGCTATCTGCTGGACAATAAGACATCTGTCATCCAAAACCATGAATGACATCAACTGTTCATCAGTGGTTATGGTTTTTGGACGACCTGATCGAATATCATCTGTACTGTCCTTGCCCTGATTGAATACCGCAGCCCACTTCACAGTTGCATAGGAAGGAGAACCCTCGGTAGTGTCTGTACAATGTCTACATGGATTTCCTTGTGTTTTATACTTTACTTTTCCAGATACTTTATAACTGCTCGGGTCTCTGCTTTGTCCATTTTTATATTTGTCACACACCTCTCATCTTTCTATGGGCCTCGCCGACAGAAGTCTCAATTAGTTTTTTAGTTTTATAAAAAGTGATATTGTGTTGTTACAACAAAAATGTTCAGCTATGGCTCTTCTTTCTGGATGAGGCTTAGAAATTTTGAACGACATTCTTATGTTTTAGCCATTTATTTCATGATCAATCTTTTTTTATTTTCCTAGCATTCAATTGGAATGAATAACATAAAATTCTTTTAAGCAGAATTATTCTGAAGAAGTCCATTTTACTTATTTGACACACAAATGCCATTCCATTATTATCATTTAAGACTCTCTATATATAACATGCAGTGTGCATTCATATGCATATATATTTTTTCTGTACAGATCAACAATGAACTGGATCAAAGCAAATTCGACTAGGCTGTCTAGAAATTGTCGGAACCCTTTGCATTGGTTAGCGACAATTCCAACTAACAAGGTATGTTTCTTAGATTGACTAGTCTAAATGTAAACGATTGCTATGAGTGTAGATGTGACTACAATCCAGGAAACCTACTTCACCTGTGACAGAGATAGCCAAGTGCTAAGAGGTAAGTGTTACGTCTTTTCAGCTTATGGGGATAACTGTTCTCGGGAGAGTGGTTCGTCTTGGTGAGTCGGTCTTTGGACTTGGGTGTACATATTGTTCATGCAGATGGGGATGGACACCTGGCTGTAGCAGATATCTGTAGTAGCAGCGTTTATTGCTGCGATGTATGCACACAATAATTACGAAGAGTGTCGCTTCATTTTTGGACGACACGGTAAATTTTTGATCGCCCCGATTAGTCCTGATGGGGAAGGGAAATGCCATCCTCGATCCCAAAGTGGATAGAGGATCTTCCAAAGCTCCCCTGACATCGCTTTCTAAGACCTCATCAAGGACTTCAGCCGCGCGGACAGGTTCAGAGCAGACCACACAAACCACAAAACCTTGATCTTACTACACAACTGGTCCTCTACTAGTAATAAAAATTACCTGGACATAGTGCTGTTTACGTAAAGTTTATCTCAACTTTACAGTGTTCATCGTTCCGTTGATTTGGGATACTCTGTCCATAAAATTGTACTGGTCAACGACAACAGCAGAACAAAGTCAAGATGGCAGGCTACTGGAAAATGAACGTTTCAACAGACGAACTTGATCCAGCGGTAGCTGGTTGGGAGAATTGCCAGCAGCCAGTGGGGGGTGATCTCAAATCCCTCTGAGTACAGTATGCCCAGAAGCTAACTCTGGACATACAACAAAATTAAATAGCCCTCTAGCTCAAAAGCTGCGCGAGAAACGACGTAAGAAAACCGTCTTACTATGGAACTGATAAGAGAGGAGTTGCAACGCGCAAACGGTGCGTGATATCAGTGTCAGATAATCAGACTGCAGAGGTCGTTCGAAGCCACGAATATTGTTTCGGAACTGCGCAAAGAAGAACCCAGACAAAGATCGGGTCGATTCATCCAGGGAATCACCTCTTTTGATGCAGGGATATTGCAATGGGGTGGACGAATTCCAGTCTCTCACGGACCTGAAGATTCTGGCCAGGATTCTAACCAGCAGCCTGCAAATTGTTGCTGAGAAGTTGATCAACCCCAAACAGACTTGCGCTAGGAAGGGATGGACAGTAGAGGATAATATATAGCTGATATGCTCAATCCTGGACAAGGTTAGCGATGGCACCGTTGTCGCACTGGTCAACCTAAACCAATCAAAAGCCTAAAACAGAATAGACCATCGATTTCTGGCAGTTGCATTAGACGATGCCGATTTTTGTGAAGTTTTCTGCACTTGGATCGGACTTCTATATGAATTCCTCAGTGCCGAGCTCGAAGTGAATAGCAAGAGATCTAAGCCGTTCAATATCACGAGGTTTATTAGGTAGAGATGACCTCGATCGCCCCTGCACTACAGCCTCGTGCTGGAACCCTTTCTCAGAAAACTGAAATGGGGACCAATCCAAGGAATTGTTCCTAGAGAGAGAATTTCAGCTCAAGTGTTTGCCTACACTGACGGTGTAATCGTTTGCCATGTAAGCTCTGAAATTCAATGCTCCAATCGAGTTACTGAGACCAGGAAAACAAATCCAAGTCTCTTGGTCTAAGGCTGGAAGCCTGAAAAAAGAGGCCTTTGCCAGGAACCTTCGACTGCTCAGATGACCCTATCCGCATCTTAGGGGTGTGGTTCGCCCTCAGGCTCCAGCTCGAGAAATACTGTGCAGAGTTGCAGACGAAAGTGGTCAAGTCACTGGATGCATGGCTCCGCAGGTTTTAGACATTGAAGGGCAAAATAGAGTTGTGCGTCACACATACATCAACCCTGTGATCCTATTATGACTGTCCGTACCTCCCATCATAGTTAACAATCTCATTAGATTTCACCGATTCTCTGCACAGTTCTGGGAAAAAGGCCAACCAATGGTAAACAAGGAGGTCTGTATCTAACGCTGGCAACATGGGGTATTAGGTTTACCACATCTAGCAAGTCACAAGCAGGCCCTGAAGCTTGCTTTCCTGAATCGCATGATGACTGCGTCTACCGGTGACTATAAATTAGTATAGTTCCCTATACTAATTTATGACATCTTTTTGCAGTCAAATTATTGCAAAAATCACATAATTGTCGGATTTTGATGAAACTTTCAAGACTTATTCACAAATGAATGAAATTATTTTAGAAATGTTTCTTTATTTACAAAAATCTTGGCAAAATATTTTGCAAACCATGGACGCACGTGTTCACAATGAACGTAGTGTCAAGAGGACGGTTTTTTTCCCACAAAAATGCTTTTTTTTTAAACTCCCTTCATTCTTCGGTAATGTTTATTGTCTTAAAAAGCGATGATTGTAATAAAACTTAAGCATATGATGAAAGTGAATTTATACATTTTTTGTTCTTCAAAATTTACAACAAAAATATTAAACTTTTATTTATTTATTAGATTATCTATCTACAAGAATATTTTTCTATTTATAGCATTCTAAAAACTCATACAATTAAAACTAATGCAATGGAATATTTATCCTTTACCAAAGAAATAAATATAAAGACAGTTTTTTTTATTCATAAATTTATAAACATTTACTAAATTATAAAAATATATAAACCAACTATAAAGAAATCCTTATTTACAATTTTATAAAGTTTGAGTCGATTGACAATTAGCCGATGCTTGCCGACTATTCAAATATTGAACAAACAATCTAATAAATAAATAGTGTTTATTATTTTTGTTATCAATTCTCAAAAACAAAGAAAATTTATAAATTCACTTTCATATGTTTAGGTTTTATTAACATTTTAATCATCGTTTTTAAAACAATAAACATTGCGGAGGAGTGAAGGTAGTTGAAATAATAGCGGTGTCAAGGGAAAAAGTCCTTTTGACAAACTGTATTTTTTGGTTCTGGTTGAGTTTGCTTTGCTTT